GGGAGGCCATGTGCACAGGTTGCGAGGTGTGTGCAGTGATCCCTCGTTTGTGCACCTGCGCAGTACAGCACCACACCCGCCCGTTAACCCAAATATCAAACTTTTGCGCTGCCTACGCCACGGACTGAACCGAGACCAAACCAGGACTAACCTAGGACTGATTCTAGGACTGATTGACTGCTGATGGTGAGTCTGTTCTGTGCATATATCCTGTTGGAGATGGTTCATGTGATTATAAATCTGCAGGTCATACATATAGACCGTACAGTGGTGTAGCTTCGTAGTTTACCAAAGTCGTACTAAGACATTTTGGCTACGTTCAGACTGCAGGCCTTAATGCTCAATTCAGATTTTTTTGTGAAATCTGATGTTTTTGCGAGGTCGTTCACATTTCCAATTAAATGTGACTTGTATGTGACTCCAGTGTGAACGTTAAACGGCCCAAAAGTGTCCCACATGTGACACTGAAGACACGACGACTTCAACCTCAGCGAGCGTGCTCTGTATTTACGGAAGTTGTCCAAACATGGACGCAGCATTGAGCACCTGGAGATTTTAAAGTTCCTCTCGTACCGGAGCCAAAACATGAACAACTTACTTGTTTTAAAGAGGAGATTTAGAAGGAGAAGGACGAGGTTTTTGGCCGTGGTGTTTTGTGGGACAGCGACGTCCGTTGAAAGGAACGTGTGGATGTGGAGACGTAGCCAAGAGTGGTGAGTGGTGATGTGCTTCACTTCAGTGACACGGAGTTTATTAACAATTTTCAGCTACTTCAGCGCAGAATAGTGACGTTTGTCGCTTGTTGATAACGTGTAGGTCGGATGAATGGCCGTTCAGACTGAAGTCACATGTCAAAAGATTGGATATGTATCAGTTTTAGGAGCACATATCCAAGTGTCCTGGGTCGCGTTTGAAAAAATCGGATCTGTGTCGTTCAGACTGTTATTAAAAGATCAGATACAGGTCACATAGGGGCCAAAAAATCAGATTTGGGTCACTTCAGGCTGCAGTCTGAACGCAGCCTTTGAGAGATGTTTGAGCGCCGTGCACCACATAAAATCGGTTCGACGTCAGTAAGCACAACCAATTAACACATAAGGTGCACTGTCAATTTTTAAGAAAATTAAAGGATTTTAAGTGCACTGTATAGTCTGAAAAATACAGTAGTTTCAAAATGATCTTTTACCGTCTATATTTTCTTGCACTTCAAAATCTGTTATCGTGACAGGCCTAGAAATTACACTCGGTATTTTCCAGTAGCCGTCCCTTGTCAAAGAAATTAAAGCATTAAAATTCTGAACGAAACCCTGTCAACATACCACCTCATTATATTGTGACGGCCTAATTAGTCACAATTGGAAAGTCTTTATGATGTCTTTAAAGCCTGCCGCACCGAAACCCGCTAATGAGACGAGGATATACAAACATATGGGACATGAAAGAGCGGCCCCTCCCACTCAGACAGGACCCACTGGACCAGACCCCCCCCCCCTCCCTTCTCTTCCACCTCTTCCTCCTCTGCCTCCTCCTCATCCCCCCACACTGCACAGACCACCAGATCCAGGACTAAAGACCGGACCACACCTGGCCATAAAACCGGGTCTAGGCTGTGGTTAATGACAGTAATGGCTTCTGCAGGAGTTTGCACTGCACACATCATTACAATGGAGAGACGAGGGAGGGGGATCGGGGGGAGGCGTGAGCGTTTTATATGCTGCCAGATAGGGCCGGACGATATGGAGCAAAAAATAAACCTCAATATATTTTGCCATATCTCGATTTACGATATATGTCTCGATGTCCTAGAGGAAAAACAACACCCCAAAACTGCAAACGGCAAAAACAAATACGCCAAATTCCACAAATTCCACATTCTTTTTTTATTGAAGTGCAAAGAGGCAGTTCATGCAGGAACAAAGTGCTTCTGCGACATAAAAAAAAAAAAAAAACAATCCTGTATTCAAAAATAATAATTTAACGGTAAAATAAAAGAAGAAATAATGCATATTTCCTTTTTTTTTCATTTAAAAATAAAACAACTCAACTCAAGCTCATCTTTGCATTAAATCTGTTATCCATATGATAACTTGGGGTGTGCAAAAATATCGGAATATCGATATATCGTATTGTTTAATGTGATGATCCAGTAGCGATATCGTGGGCTGCTGTATCGATATATCACCAAGAGTATTTTTTACGTGTGTTTTACTAAATTATTTTGTTGCAGTGCTACAGTTTTGTTGCTTGTGGAGAGAAAGGAAACTCATTTATGCGACACATTTGACATTTTGACACAGTTTTGAGGATTAAAATGTTTGTGTTTCATATGAACTTCGCACAAGAAGTGGTTTAACAAAGACTTTTAGTATCACAGCCATGATTTAGCCTTTATTTTTTATTGAACCGTATCGAATCGATTTGAAATATATCATATCGAATCGAAAGGGCACTGTATCGAGGTATGTATCGTATCGGCAACTTCTTAATGATACCCAGCCCT